TCTTTCCCTTTATTTCTCTGTCTCTGTTTGGTCAAATTAAAAAAATAATAACAAATGCAATTAAATAAATAATTCTTTTTTAAAAAAACCATAAAGGCATATTCTGGTTTTATTGGCAATCAATTATGAATGTTCCCAAATAATTTCCAGTTTTGAGACTTTTAATATGTAAGAAAAAATAAGACCAAGTCAGTATATAATTATCAGAGACCCTCAAACGGTTTAAGCAGATAGTGTATATGAATCGTTTCTGACAGGAAGACTAAACAAAAAGCGATAAAAAGCTTATAGCTGTATTTGAAGAATCCCAAACTATATTCCATGCCATAGTACATGTTTAGCTATACAAGTTTATCTAAAGTATCAGAAGGTATCAGTAACTCAAACATTTCAAAAGAAAAATTTTACTTTTAACTCTTATATCTCTACTACATTTGTTGATCTTATCTTAAAATCCTCCAGAGTACAAATCTTAATAGGAAGTTCTTTTGAGAAAATAACATGGAGGATATTAAAGTTAAAATAAATATTTTGATGAAAAAGTAGTCTACAGAGATTATAGTATGTGGTATAATAACTAAATAAGATTTATGGAAATTATAAACACCATGGAGAAATTAAAGAATGGTATGAGGACAGGTAGCAGGTGGCCTGGAGATTAAGGCATCTGGATACCACATGACTGGCTATACAGTTCAAGTCCTGGGTGCATGTGCTTGCATGCCCAAAATTCCCAGGAGGAGAATTGGAGGAGAAGGGATTGTGGCATGGCCATCCCCCCTAGGGGGGTGATTTCTTACCTTCCCTCTCTCTATTTCTCTCTCCAGTGAGTGCACATATACTATAGCAAAACAAACAAGTAAACAACAATAACAAAATAGTATGATCTCAGAGGCTCTAAAATGAACTTCAAAGAAAATTATCAGGACCCCTCTTGAACATTATAATGTAATAGTTAAAGAATCTTGAAATGGTTAGATCTCATTATACCTTCTCTTGAAAGATTAAAGGGTAGAAAATATGATTTTATTATTTGGTTTACTCCTGTCTCTGTATTGTAGATTTTTTATTATTCTTTATCAAAAACTTTCCTCCTCCATGATTTCTAGTCTTTTTTTCTTTTTCTATTATATTTCTCTGACCAGGAACATTTATATATCAATAGTTTCTGTTCTCTGCTTTGGCTCCTTTATGTACTAGTACCCTGCAGCAGAAGAAAAATAAAAAAATGAAGTAAAATAGTTTCAGGGCAAGGAAAGTGGAATCAGGGTGGGTAGACATATATCCTCCATATATCCCTCATTATTATATCAAAGTCTTTGCATATGTCAGCAGCAATTTATACACTACCTGAAGCGCAGTCATGAAATCCAGCTAACCTTTGGCCTTTTCACCTTGGGAATCCTGCAAAGTCTATAATTCAGGTTACATTATTTTTTCTATTTGAAGTCTGGTAACCCCTTCACCTCCAAATTCAGTTAGTACACTGAAAACCTAATGTTCTTTAAAAATCTTGAAAATAGTTACACACTAAAAGGGTAGGATTTGAGTTCAGCTAATTACAAATAATAAGAGTTTAAGTACTTTAAAGACATTATAACTTTACTAAACTGAAAATAGCTTTCTAAGTTATTTTGAACTATAATTATTTCTCGATTCATGTGTCCTCTTGAAGACTTTTCTATTTTACCTGTTATCCTAACAGAGCATTTTTTATTTTTCAACTTTCTACTCATTTTTTAATTGTTAAAAAAGCAATATTGGAGCAATAAATGGCATAATGTTTATGTTGCTGGATTCCCACAGAGTGGACTGCAATTCAAGTACTGAACCTGGCAGCTTAAAACTCAATCTGGACATGTATACATACTTGCCCAAAATCCTGAGAGGAGACTGGAAGAGAAGGGATTATGGTGTGACCATCCCCCTGGGGGTGATTTACTTTCTCTTTCTCTGGTGAGTGCACATGCCCTATAGCAGAAGTCTATTAAAAAGAGAAAAAAGGGACCAGCAGTTAGCGTAATGGCTATGTCGCTGGACTCCCACGTAGTCGACCGCGGTTCGAGTCCTGGACCCGGTGGCTTAAACTCACGCCGGGCGCGTGTGCGTGCATGCCTAAGATCCCGAGAGGAAAATGGAGGAGAAGGGATTGCGGCGTGGCCATCCCCCCTGGGGGGTGATTTCCTGCTTTCTGTCTCTCTGTCTCTCTCTGTCTGTCTGGTGAGCGCACGTGCCCTATAGCAAAAATCTCTCCAAAAAAAAAAAGAAAGAAAGAAAGAAAGAAAGAAAAGTAACCTAGTGATTAAGGGAGTCAGACATGACTGACCAAAATTCATATCTTGGCCTGGTAGCTTGAAAAAATACACTGAGTGCATGTGCATGCATGTTCAAAATCCCAGTGGTGGAGAAATGCAGAAGGGATTGTGGCATGATTCACTAAGGAATAATTTTTTCCCTCTGTTTCTCTATGGCTGTCACACATGCCTTCTAGCAAAGTAAAAGAAATTTAACATGTAGTAAGTAGCATAAAGCAGTGATTTCCAGACATCTGACTTTTCGACTATTAAAGCTTCCATAAAAATGGAGAATATTGAATTGTTAGGAATTAGTCAATTTTGTGAAGTAAGCAGGCTTTTTTTTTTTAACTACCATTTCCCACTGCTCTGTTTCATAAAAGGAAATGACATTTCAAGGCAAGCAGGTGGAAGGAAGAACAGAAGGAAGGAGAGAAGAATGAAAAGGAGTGGAAATACTTCCCATAAAAAAGAAAGTCCTTTGAATTAAATAAATATGTAGACATATAGCTCATGAAATGTTCACCAGAGATTTTGTTCTTTTTTTAAAAATGTTTTTCCATGGGCTTATAATAAATTGGCAGTAGTTTGCATACCAGGTACCTTAGTTTGGATTTCCTCAGAAGCAGACTTTGTAAATAGGACTTAAGCATTAATGCCATTTATTTGGGAGGTGATCCCAAGAAATTTCAGTAGGAGACTAGCAAAGGGAAGAAAATCAATACAGGTTGTATTAACAATCAGGTTACCACTATGAGCAGTTGGGACTCAGTCCCACTGAGCAACTAGAGAAACCACTAGAACACTAGAAACACAGAAACCACTAGAGAGTTGTCACACCTGAGGGACAAAGAAACTAGATTTTTATCCATTTGCTTTCATTTGTCATTGGTTGAGGGTTGCTCCAGGAAGCATCTCCTGTGCAACATCTGCAGACTGCCTTGTGTGCAGTTTGAGCATCTTTGTGGCTAGAGAATAGACCAGGGCCACCAGATGGCATGGAAGTTAAGGCACTGGATCCCACATGGCCAACTCCTCTGTTCAAATCCTGGACCTGATGGCTTAAAAATCACACTGAGTCCATGTATATGCATCCCAAAAAATCCCAAAGGAAAAATGGAGGAGAAGGGAATGCAGTGTGGCCAACCTCCCTGGGGGGCAGGTTATTTCTCCTCAGTCCCCCTCAATGAGTGCGCACGCCCTGTAACAATAACTAAACAAAAAGAAAGAAAAAGTGTTCCAAAAGACATGGCTTCTACTTCTAGAAAATCTTAGTTTTAAGGTGCTTTCCTATGGATTGTGCCTTCCACAACTAATAAAAAATATGACAGTATTATTATCCTCAATTGACAGATCTTTAAGGCTTTTGAGTTTCAAAGGTGTGGTCAATGTACCTCAAGGCATGAAGGCTTATTATAAGGATTCCTAGGGAAGTAAGTCAGGGAAAGAAAACTGTTCCACAATATAATGTTTTGTGTCATGGGGAACCATATTATCATTTATTGTTCAGGATCCAGAAGCAGCTCTAGGGAACTAACAAACACGCTTGTGGTCATGTCTGAAGGATGGGGACCATGCTATTATCTCGTTCAGTCACTGCACCATCCCCATGACTCAAGCACTCTGTCACTTACTCTATTTCTCCCAACACAGTCCTGCTTCTTCTGCTTTGACTGTAACCCCCAGTATCCGCCATCCCTCTCTACTTAATTTCCGCTTACTCATGTCTTCCACTGTTTCTCTGCTTTCACCTACAGTATTTATGAAATTCCAGGGAAACAATGGTAAGACAACTAGGTGTGGACTTTGTTCTCATAGAGCATATAGTTTAGAGAGAGAGGCAGACTTGTATCAAGTAACATTTAAAAAAATACAGCATTTAATACTATGATACATTGGGGAAAGAAAAACTAAACTAATAAGAAATTTTTAGAGTTTCTGTAGTCACTTAGCAGATTCTTTGTTGATTGTTCACAGAGTATTTCACTGTAATAACATAGACACAGTATCTCAGCCCCAAGCCTGAGATGCTGCAACAGATAGACTGTGTTTGAAAACCACCTCTATTACTACTAGCTCTGTAACTCCATAGTTCTAGTATATAACTCTAGCTCTACAAATCATGTTTTATGCGTGGATAGCAATACCGATTGACTTAGGTCTCCTTCTCCAAGAAGTAGACCCCAGACTAGAATTTATCATAGGTTGTTTATTTGGGAAATGACCCCAAGGAGTGCCATTGCCCAGAGGGGAAGTGAGACAAGGAAGGAAAGGACACCAAAAAGGGGTGTGTTATCAAAGAGGTAACCATTGGGTGCAAGGGGCAGGCAGGCTTAGTCCCATGGGAGAACCATGGGAGATCATGTGAAATATGTCTCAGAGTTATCCTACATGAGAAGTGAGAGCTGTAGATACTTACCCTTCAACTCCCTTCCATCGTCAGTGAAGGCCGCTTTTGGATTCATTAGCTCCCTGCACTTCCATGTTGTCCCATGCTTACAGTTCAAAGAAAGCTCGTACATGGATAGTCACCAAGTAGACAAGTTCTATAATCATGCTCTAGAATGAGTGACAAGTATGGAATGTTGACAGTTGCTATCTTTATCTTAAGGAAATTTCTATGAAGCTTTGAAAAAAATAGTAGAACAAAACAGGAGCTCAATAGATTGTATCTATTATTATCACTGTCATTTGGCTATACCTTACAGAACAGTAAAGATATATTTTGACCAGACTAACAGAATATAAAATTTATTTCCCTTGTTCTAAGCTTCTATTAATATGGCCTAAGATTGGGTGTATTCTCATCATAATCTTTCAGCAGCATCTAGAAGTTGGTCCCTTTCTTCTTCTTAACACACTTTCTTTACTTGGTTTTCAAAAAAATTATACTCTTCTTCAGATGCTGGCCTTAGATTCCCTTGAGAGATGCTTCCTTTTCCCAAATTCTGAATGTTGGGAGTATCCTTGGCTTTTTTCACCATCTACTGTTCTTTCTAAATGATTTAATCTAGATCCATTAATTTAAATATTATATATATGCAGATGATTCCTAAATTACTATCTCTAACCCATCCTCTTCTAGCTCAAACTGTTTCTTGGCATCTCTTATATCCAAAATTGAACTCATATTTACCTCATGTAAAAACAACATTCCTGTTATTTCCCATGTTGTAAATGGTGTCAACACTCACCTGGTAGCCAAAAATCTAGATGCTTTAATTGATTCCTCTCTTTCTCATCACACATTTGTTTTATTATTATTTATTTATTTTTGGAGAAATTTTTGCTATAGGGCACGTGCGCTTGCCAGACTGACAGAGAGAGACAGAGAGACAGAAAGTGAGACAGAAAGTGAGAAATCACCCCCAAGTGATATCCCCAGCATGGGGATGGCCATGCTGCAATCCCGTCTCCTCCATTCTCCTGTTGGAATCTTGGGCATGCACGCACACATGCCCGGTGTGAGTTTTAAGCCACCAGATCCAGGACGCAAACCATGGTCACCTACATGGGAGTCCAGCGACATAGCCATTACACTAACTGCTGGTCCCTCTCATCACACATTTAATTCATCAACATGTCTTGTCAGTTCTGCCTTTGAAATATATACTGTATGGGGACCAGCAGTGTATACAACATACATTAGCCAGAGTCACCTTTTGAAAATGTAAATCAAATCAAAAGATACGTTTTTAATATTTTCTCATCATATATAATAAAATACAAAGTTCTCCCATCCAAAAGCCTTCATGACATGGCATCTGTTGCAGGGTGATTTCTGCATGATATTCAGGTTCTTAGTGTTTTGGACAAAGAACTGAACAAAACACGCAAATAGTGCAAGGGAAAGGTAGTTAGTTTATTAAGTAAAAGGAAAAGTACACTACTGAGTGGACAGAGGAGTGGCTCGAAAGGCCGTGGTGTTGCATTCTGTGGAATTTATAATCTTTAACCTAGTCATGGGCCCACTGACTGTTCTCATCTCATTGACTCTATCAAATTTGGCTGTGCCCACTGATTTATCTCTTTGGCTACATCACATGTGGCTTAATCAACTAGACTATAACTAAGCTTCTACTCCTCAATTATGGTCTTGTCACTCTGAAGATCTTGGTATTTTTTGAATATACGAAGAATCTTGCTACCTTTTGAGCCTTTAGACTTAACCCTGGCCTTTGCATGAAATACTCTTGAACAGAGCTTTCCCTGGGTTACTTCCATACTTCATTAAAGTCTGCTTAAATATCACATCCTCAAAGTTCTTCACTGACCATTAACCACAGAAAGTCTTCACCTATACTGTTTAATTTTTATTTTACTGCTTTTCAGTACCTGAGGTTATCCCATGTATTTGTTTACTTGCTTCTGTCCAGGTCTGATTGGATTGCTGTAACAAAAATATCACAGACTTGGTGTCTTTAACAGTGAACATTTCTTGGGACCAGTAGATGGTATAATGGTTACATCACTTGACTCCCACATAGTCAACAGCAGTTTGAGTGCTGACTCAGTGGCTTAAACTCACGCCAGGTGTGTGTACATCATGCCCAAAATTCTGAGAGGAGAATG